CTCATGCAGACCTGTTTTATGAATCTGTGCTGGAAAGGCTCAAAGGTCGGTGGTGGAATCTAGAAAGTCTGTGCCAATGGGATAAATGATCTGTGCTAGCAGATTGAGGATCTGCACTGGAGCCAGGAAGCGATGTGTAAGGCAAGAATCACAGCTCCCCTGAAAAGTACCACAGCCACCCTCAGCAACAGTGAGGTCCTGAGCTCCTTAAAGGATGAGGACAGCTGAGTTTCTGTCAGGAAAGCCAGTGCAGCAAGCTTCTTCAGGAGACTGAGCAGTCCACCATCTTCCCCTCCGGAGCCAGGAAGCGATGCTCAGAGTAAGGACCAGAGCTCCCCCAAAGTGAACTGAAGCTGTTCTCAGTGCCAACAAGGTCCGGAGCTCCTCGGAGGATGAAAACAGCCAAGTTCATCAGGAAAGCCAGCATGACAAGCTCCTCCAAAACAACCAACAGCTCCTTATAGCTTCCACCAGCTCCCAACAAACTCTCAGTTCCCAAAAGCTTTTCTTCTTCTCCAGTTCTGCCTCTTATGCTGCTGGCAACAGTCCCCAGGTGGGCCTCCCACACCCAGCACCACGCTTATTCAGTTCAGCTGGGGGTTATAAGTTGACCACCAGTTATCAATCCACTACAAGTCAAATAAAATATTATCTATTATTAAACTTGAAAGAGCAAGCTGAAGCCATATTCTGCTAGTAAATAACAAATATCCACTGGATGAATAGAACAGTGTGAGAAAACTTTGTAATAACAATTATTAATGATAATCAGTGTTTTGATCATTTAATAGTGCAAGAGTGTTTTCTACGTACAGTGGGCAATTAATTAAAAGATAATGATTACTGAATTAGAAGGGAAGTAAAATTAAGAGTGCCTGATGAGTTTGTTTATTCATTTGCTGTACTGAATTATTCAGTGTTGATTGTCTACTATGTGCTGGATAGTTGATAGGCTCTACATATTGGGTGATGAATGAAACAGCTCTAGCTATGCTGATGTAGTCTTGTGTGTTTGATTTGCACATAAGAAGTCTTCCAGAAGAAAACTGACTGAACACTGAATGTATCCCAAGTAATTTTACCTCACTGTAACTAAACTAAAGGGAAATTTGTTGAGTTTGATCAGACCATCTCTTTCATGATTTAGATGACTTGTGAGAGACCTGGATTTTCGTCTTTTAAAGTCTAACTCTGGGGGCTGGGGATTTAGCTCAGTGGCAAAGTGCTTGCCTGGCAAGCACAAGGTCGTGAGTTTGGTTCTTGGTACCGGAGAAAAACCAAAAAAATAAAAATAAAGTGTAACTCTGTGGGATATTATTTTTTAATTTTAAAGGAAAAAAAAACAGTAACAACAAAAGACAAAACAACACAAAAACAATAAAAATGATGGAGAATTTCAAAACAAAATGATAGGAATTAACAGTGCTTGTTATATTGTATATTGTTATCTTTAACAAAGTTGCTTAGATTACCAGATGTAAGAATGCAAGATTGATCAAACAATTGAAGAGAATAAAAAGTAATACAAAAAAACATTAGAAACAATACAGAG